CATGTGTACCATAAACGTTCGGCTAACCTTTTTATGCGTAGTCATGCAGTACTGTCAGTGCTCGTCAGTCATTCCGAGCACCAGCTCGTCTGCAAAATTGTTCCGTTTTAGACTTAACAGACATGCGCAATCGCGATAGACGTCAGAGCTTCTTCATTACATGCATTCTGATTGGTGTAGGGTACTTGACCGTCAGTTGACAAGCGAATAAAGATGCGGGTAACATATTACGCTTTTAGTCCCTTTTATTACCAAGCAAGATTTTGTTGTGCAAGAATCAGCGAAGCCGGCGATGTTCGGCAATGTATGCCATGTATGATATTTGTATCGCTTCCAAATTTATAAGAAATTGACTTCAGTTTCCTAAATTTATAAAATAATCACAACGATATTCACTTTCTATAACTCAAACAGGTCACTTTTACAATTTTTATAAGATTTTCACTTCGTTTTTTTACAGTTTCTAAAAAGCATCACTTCGATTTTTACACCTTTTAAAACGGGTACTTCGCACTTCGTTTTTTACCCATGCGGAGGCCCTCTTTTGCATGTCGTTACGAAGTGTGTCCCGTACTCAATATCCATAGCTGCAGTACATTAATCGCAAATGCTTTTGAAAATCAGAGTTTTAGGTTTTATTTGTTCGATTTTGAGACAGTGATTGCGGAGTATGAATTTAGTCAACTGTTCTCTTAGTTTGATGTTTTCAATATCAACGAGATATTTTTCTAGTCTAAATATCTTTTTGAAATCTCTGTATGGTCTCAGTTTATTTTTTTCTCCGAAGCTATTCTTATCCTCTTACTGAATATCATTTTTCCAAATCAATTCGAAAGATTTTTTAATTTGTTTGTCTAATATTTTTGATTTGGTTTCTATTATTTTTTCAGTGTTAATAATTCCTGATTTGTTGATATTAGCAAGTTGGGTTTCCACTTCATTGTACCATTTACTGTTAATTTTCTTGTTTAAATCTGCAGCATCAGTGTTGTATTCAATATGCGATTGCAATATTTGATCATTTGTCTCTTGATGAATACATCTAAAGGGTATCTGTCGAGTTCTCCGCAAATGCCAATTTTGGAAGTATTTTTGAGATGCCAAGTAAAAACCGGCTGTATGTAGCTTAGGTGTACACACTCGATGGTAGATTTTTAATTACTTTCACCCCCGGATAAACTAATATTGGTCGGATCAGCTTATCGAATAGTGATTAAAATGTAGTTATTTTTAACCTCTGTTAAATAATTAACAAATTTAGGTTACGTTAGGGTCAGGTGTTTAATTTAGATTAACTTCTTTTTGCTAAAAAAAATAGGTTATTGTTTTTAAATTAAAGTCTATTTGATTTATTGAACACTGTAATTTTTCCAGTCAATTTCCAGTTATTGGAATATTTTAATACATGTAGTTTATTAGACACAACTGTAAGCCTTTTTTTGTTTCAGGGAGCATCACGATATAAAGAAGACAACTAAATGGGGTGTTAAGTAGAGTTGGTGGTTTATATACACTTTGATAAAAAAAATACCTGGAAAATCATTAATAAAAAAATATTGAATGAGATATTTCAGAAGTTGTAGGAGACTGAGTTATTTGTAAACAATGACGACAGTTTTTACCGGTAAATGTATCTGTCAATCTTTAAAGGGGAACCTTCCAAGCCCGGGGATTGCACTAAAGAATCATGGGCCAATATTGTTTATGTTATTTATAAAGTTAATCTATCTGTTGTTATCTATTGTAATTTTAATCCGGAAAGTTAGTTTGTTGTGAGATTAGGCTTAACTGGAAGTACCCCTTTAGGTGCATCTTACTAGTATTAGACACAATATACACTTCATCTACGCAATATACAAATAACTTAGCAGTGCTGGTTTGTTTAATATTTCAAACACCCATTTGAGTGAGTAGCGTCATAAGAAAATGTAAATGTTTTAACTAGCTATAGTGATTCAACTAAGTTGAGAGAAGTATTTTCGACTGTAAAAAAATATTAGAAAGAAGTCTATTCTTAATACATATAATCATTACATTTCAATGGAATTTAGTATATGGATTTTCTGGGGAAAATCCACAGATGTGATTAGTTCAAATTAGTTTAAATTGTTATTAGGCAATTTCTGATATCTCAAAATATCAGATTTGAATAGAACTTTTGTTACAAATGTAAATTCAAATTCATGTGTTAGTATTATAAACATTTCAATTCTTTCGATCTCATTGTGTTCACGTTAACAGACTAATATCAGCTGCCAACCTTCTTGCTTGAAAGATATTACATTTTCAATTAATTTTAAATATTCCTCGAGACTCAGGAGTTCTGTCTATGCTTGCTTTGATTTTGTCAACCATATGAATACATTGAGATGGGAACGACGAAACCGTATTCGGCTTCACGCATAAGCACTATAGACTTGTCCGACCCGAGGTAATTGTTTAGTGTGTAGGATGTTGCTAAATATATAATATAATGAGAGATGCGTATGAACTGAAAAATATATTTTGCGATCTGCACATTACATTAAGTCATTCAACAGGATGCATTAAATAAAAAACATGGACTCAGCATTGTGAATGTCTGTATTAGATATTATATATTCAAATAAATGTCATGAGTAATGTGTAACAAACACACTTACATAGATAGTGCTCATAATTATGGAACAAAATAATTTTGTATTTGTATAGTACTATTTACTATTATTTGTACTAAATAATTATTAATTAAAAGGGCAATAATAAATTGAGCATATCATAGCGCGCGTGCGCACTAATTTTATCGCACGACACCGCCACGTTTGTTAATCAGGTAATTTATACAAACTGTAACAGGTGCAATGTTGGCGGTATTACATTACACAAACTTTATTTATTATTTATTCAAATGGCTCACAAAATGTTCTTGTGCCATAAACCAGATTCACACAGGATTCAACTATAAGTGCACAGATGGGTCGGGATCCCAACTATGTATGCACCCTGATACAATAACGATACCGATGAAGTTAAAAGAGAATGGATATGCCACCCATATGGTTGGTAAATGGCATCTCGGCAATATCAGATGGGAGTGTCTGCCAAATGCAAAAGGATTCGACACGTTCTTCGGTATGTATCAATGTTAATACGTAGTACGATGTAAGTACATTAATTAACATTTTGTCAGCTTTCAGGTCAGGGAGTTGATATTATTGATATTACATTATAGTATGTAGGTATAGCATGATTATAGTATGTAGGATAATTGTTGCCCGGCAACTGCAACTCGGGATTTATTTTATTTATATGACCAGTATGTACAGTCGGTTAAATGAATAAATGACGTTCAATTTATTTATATATATATAAATTGAACGTTACAAAATAAAACGAATAGCTACGAGTCAAATATCATGCACAAATTCTGGTGGACGGACGTTTCGGCTCTGGACGTTTTGGCCTGGGTGGTTCGGGCGAGAGTTTCGACCAGGGCAGACGTTTCGGCCCGTGGCTCTCTTCTGTGAAATAATCTTATCGTGTTATCTTATTGCTAGGTTACCATGGGGCATCAGAAGATTATTACACACACTTTTCTCCAGCGGGCCGCGAGTGTCGTGATTTGTGGCGAAATCGTGATGACGTTGCACAAGAATATTATGGCCAATATTCTACACATATATTTACAAATGAAGCTTTAAATATTATTGAAAACCACGATGTTAGTAAGGTGAGCAAATAAAATTTAAAAAGATTAAGACACAGATTTATTTTGTAATAAAAATAATAAAATTACTTTTTCTCTTTCATCAGCCAATGTTTCTGTATTTACCATACCAAGCTGTTCACGGCCCATTGCAAGTACCTGAGAAGTATTATAACATGTACGAACGGCCCCTAGATGATATCAGGCGAAAATACGCTGCTATGGCAACCTGTATGGATGAAGGAATCGGAAATGTGACCAATGCTTTGAAACAACGTGGAATGTGGGACAACACAGTATTTATATTTGTATCCGGTAAGTCAATGCCGGGACGCAAATAGAATCGTACAAGGTTCTGAGCAGCAATACGAGCGGGAAGATAATTTCGGGATTAAAGGACGACACATTGCCGGAATTGCGTGTTATAAATCAGCACCATCAGGTTTTTATGACGTCTTAGCTTTATACTATCACACGATAATGTAAATCCCTATTCGGATAATGTAAATCCCTATTCGCAAGTAAATTAATTTCCCTAAAAAGTCCCTATATTTAACTAAATTTTAAACTAAAATTGATTGTGTTTTATTTAGACGATAATGAATCGTCCACAGCATTGTTTTGGAGTCAGGAGCTAAACGCGATAACGTCTTCGCCTTTGCCTCGCACATTATCTTGAGGCCTTTCTCCTCGTCCAATATGGCGCTATGGGGGATTCATTATTGTATAATGGGCGAGACGCAGTCGCACCTCATCTAAGCACTGTTATCACACAATAATGGCCAGTGTCCTTTATTTCAATTATAATACCATGGGCTGTTAGGAAATTGAATAAACATCCAGCGATAGCTTGAGAAAAAGGAATAGACAGTGTGGTTAGCGCGTCGAGAACGCTTGTATTTCGCATATAAGTTCACGTGGAACGTTTTGCGAACAAATGCACATAGATAAATTTTCAGATGAAAATAAAATATTTATTCAAGTTAACCTAAATAATTAACGATCGGCTTGTTGCCCAGGGCTTGTTGTTTCAACTATTCGATAAAAATATGGGAAAATTATTGAAGTTGACGAGTCGTTTGTGCATTCGCCTGAAACGTATCCCTGCTCCCCGTGTGTGCTTCGCTAACGAATACAGACGTGAGAAGCCGTGGTACCTCAAACACAGCCCTGTTATCCGAAATCTGCATGTGGTACCGATGGCCAGTGAAAATGCGGCGTTTCAATAACGAGCAGTACAATGCATTATAACTACATATATTAAAATCATTTATTACATCCGTTCGCAGACAATGGTGCTCAATTTCCTACTGGAGGACGGAACTGGCCTTTACGTGGCGGGAAAGGCAGTGTGTTCGAAGGAGGCATTAGAGTTGTTTCCTTCGTCACCAGTCCATTGATAGAACGACCTCAGCGTTCGAGTAACGAAATGATTCATTTGACAGATTGGCTTCCTACGTTGACGCATTTAGCTGGTGGAACAGTTGATGATGTTGAACTCGATGGCGTTAATATGTGGGATACTATAAGGTTATTACTCATTTGCTCATAGTGTGTCTGTTTACACTCCTGTTTTGGTGATCGTACAGTCAGCATTTTTTTAACGACCCACCCTATATTACAGTACGTTCGCCATATCCTTCATCACAGTCAGACTTACATACAGCCCCTTTTTTATTCTTTGTTGTTTTTCACCATTTATACACTCCCATAACATTTTATTTTAGTGAAAAAAACAAAAAATAAACAAGGGACTGTATACAAGTCTAAGTCAGCTAGCATGCAATTAATCTACTGATAATTTACTATATGGGGGCCGCCATCTTGAATACGAATTAAAACTAAATAGAGACACGTTGAAAAACGCGTTTTTCAGATTTTTAGAAATCAGAAAAAAAAATATTTTCACAGCCAAACGACCCCTTTAAGCAAAATTAAGCTAACTGCTAACAGAATTCTGCCGAATTCGTCATTTTTGTGTGGAAAAATTCCTTGCATACGAACACCTAATTACACGTAGAACACTTTCACGGGTTTTTTGAAACCGAAGTCATCATCTAAATTTAAGACCGTCTCTGATTGGCTCCTGAGTTGGATGACGAAGATTAGATTTGATGCAACTCGTCACGTTGCGTACATCGTTTGTATATTTCAACAGATGTTTTCACCTGATGCATTAACAAATTTATTATACAATGTCATCTTTTTATTTTTTACTAATTATTTTTATAGTAAAGGTAGTGCTACACCACGTAAAGAACTTCTCGTGCAAATCTCCCCTCCTCATGGAGTGCGTGATATAGGACATGAACCCTGGTATAAAAATGGAATGTTTGACGTCACCACCAATTCAGCTATTATTGTGGGTAACTGGAAACTTGTGACGAATGAAGGTTAGTTTGACATGACGTCATTAACTGAAAATGTACAACATTCATTGTTCTTTGCTAATTTGGAAAACAGTATTTTTCATGAGACTATGGGATGCGTTTGTGTATTTATTTATAAAGCATTTTAATTGATTTAAATATATTATATTATTTTTTTAAATGCGGTTATTTGCCAATAATAAATACTATTCTAAATCAGTTATATAGAAATAACCAGTTAACGTTTTGGTTTTGTTTATAAATAATTTGATCTGATAATCACTGTATTAGTTTCTTCATTTATATTCATGGGAATTATACACAAACAATTGCGTGGCATATATAATGAGAAAGGTGTGTCATATTATTTTATTTTATTTAGAAATAAATACCATTGTGCTTAAGTAAGCTAGTTATTTATAAATAATAATACAGATTCATTTATTTCCTATTTCATTGCTGAATAAATGCGAAATAACGAATGTAAATAACGAAGCATGAGCATCGTCGACTATAACTTTATTTATAAACCATCGACGTTGGTGGCGTTTTCATGATTCATATACATGTACACATAATTTTAATATAGCTATGTTTACAAGTCCAATGGATTATAATAACTAATTAATGGAAATTAACACTTTTAGCATACTCGGCGCGACAAAAATCATGAAACTGGTGTACGTGTACGCACGTTTATTATTTATTATTGTCGCATACGACTTATTTACCACTTCCGTGTCACTGAGAATGTTCTAGAACCGTACTGTGTCTGGGTGGAATATTCTATATTTTTTAGAAAATGGTTGAATAGGTAATAGAACACTGTAGGAGGCAATATAAGGTAATGGAATATTCTAGAAATTGGTAGTAAGTTCAAGACTCATTATGTATGCTGATGTAATGGTCTATTTATAGACAGTGTGGGTATATATAGGGAAGTTGTTCAGCACTGAGATCAGATCAGCTGTATCACCGCCACGCCGGGTAGAGTTGAAACTTTCTAACTCGTACATACAGCTGACGTCGTTTCAAATTTCAACGATTCAACTTCATTTACTTGTTATATACCGACCAATGCGCTCTCCAGCTCATCCAGCTATCAACACTATTTTCCAGTGGCGGCGCCACGGGGGGAGGGGGGGGGGCAGGAGTGGGGACATATCGGGGTGGTGTTGGAGGCGTCGGCCCTCCAAAATCAAGCTGAAACATTTTGTGTCAGCAAAATGCAGGAAATAGCGTTTCAGAGGGTCTATATTTCAGAATTATTAAGGGGGGCATGCTCCCCCATGCAAAATTTCGTGTCGCCGCTTGAGAAGCTGGCGAATAGAGTGCTATTTCAAAATAGGCAAAACTCTTCTAAGTTCAATTTTCGGTTTGAAAATCTTTGCAGTAAAAAGTTCTTGACCACATATAGATATTGAACTCACTAAAATTATTCCGCCACAATAAGTTATTACAATAGATTTTTGGGCTTAATTAAGTAATTTTTTTTAGTTTTATTTTCGATATTTTTTCGTGTAACGAATGTGGGAATATACCTGACTTGACTAGATTCTACTTGCCTTTGATCTATTATTATTTTCGTTGGGCCCGTGGTCACAGACTCTAGCGCGACAATAAAATGAACAGTAATTAAATCGAAAATAAGTTCATTTCAAAATTATATTGTTGAAAGGATGATGTCGCCATCACAGATAGAACTTCGAGAACCACAGCTAAACTTAAAATTATGATAAATTACGCCAAAAAACAAAATGTTTGATTCTAGAATATATTAGAAATTCAGCTTGCCATCATTAGCCACGGATCTGTATTTCCGCTATTCTATTTACTGGCCACGGTTGCATTTCCGCTATTCTATTTACTGAGCACGGCTGCCCACTATTCTATTTACTGAACATTATAGCATTTCCGCTATTCTATTTACTGGCCACGGTTGCATTTCCGATATTCTATTTAATGAACACGGCTGCATTTCCACTTTTTTTATTTACAGGTTACTACGGTGGGCATGTCGTGCCACCCGAACTTGAATCACAAATTGGAGCAGAACGTATCCCACCACCAGAATCAAAGCGTGGTAGATTAGTATGGTTATTTCACATCGGCGAGGACACGAAAGAAAAACACGAGATGAGCAATGAAAGACCAGATATAGTATTTAGATTGCTGGAACGACTGAGAGGGTACCAAAGCCACGCTGTATTCTGTAGACATAGCTACGCTAGTTTGGGGTGCACTCAAAGGGGAAATCGTTGGGGACCACCGCTAGGAATGTGATTTGTTTGTTCAGGAACAAAATATGATGTTTCAAATAAATTATGAAATTGTAATATGTACAAAGTAATTCATATTTTCATTTTGGAGTGTAGTTTTTGTATGGTGTTTACAAAATCCCACAGTAAAGTAGAACTAACATACACAATACGAAATAAAATCACATATCGTTAATGTCATTTAGAAGTCAACGAACAAAAACCAATAAATAACAAACAAACGACTTTATTAGAGTACCTAGTCAAAAGATTGAAAGTGATATGTATGAACCTTTAGCTTGATAGCCGAAAATTTGGTGTCATGTGGCACCAGCCAAGTGACGTCAAATAGTTATGGTTTCAAGGGACACATGCTATTACTAGTAATTCTAGTAAATCTTTGCAATTGATATTAATGATATCTGCATAAAACACATTATTGATATACAAATCGTTCTCTAGAAACAAGTCCTATAATTTGAAAACGAGTACCTTATGTTGGTTTAAAACTCTGCATTTATACTAAACGTATGTTGGTAAAAGTCGAATATTGCTGGAAAGGGTTTAGTATGATGGTAAAATTGAAATGATCTTTTTTGGTACACAACCTGACAGAAAGTTGCCAATCAGAGTGAAATGCAAGACAAGTACGACAAATAAGTGGATTAATCTCAATTGCATACATCATTATTAATCACTATATAGATTTCTGTTTCCCGGCAGTAATTGCACATTTCGGTACAGTCCGTCTTGTTCCTAACAAATAATCACAGTCTAACAACGCATAGATAACGATTAGAATTATATATATATATAAATACTGTAAAACATGTCTTTTTCGCGAATTTAGCGAGAGAACTGATTCGCTAATTCAAGAAGCCGCTAAATGACTTTATTATAAAACAGCAAAACAGACGTGGAAATAAAGTTTTCCAATCTTTCGTCAATAGTCGATATCAAAATAATCAAAACCATCACTACAGTCAACGTGAATACCAGGGTGGACCTTATGACGAATCATACAAGCAATACCCTCTTTGGTTAAATCAAAAGGAAGAAGCTGGACGATATTCTAGTGAACATTACAATGACATTCAGTATCCAAATAGATACAGTGACAATAAATATAACAAACATTCTCATTTGTATCTGGATAGCTGGTATAAATGGGAACCATATCATAGTCAACCACGGTATCAACAGGAATGGTAATGTAAAAAACATAGCAGAAAAACCTAAATTTATTTTATACATGTATCAGTAACATTCAAAGTACATAAAAGTCTGGTATGGTATTCGTAGTGATTATGTCTATTCCTCTTTCTCCCACAAGGCAATACCCAATATGTACCAAGTCTAAGTTAATCAGTTGCAAAGATCAAATCTGCTGTAACGTGATACATATGCTGTGCATAGTAAGTTGTACTTGGGTATAAGGCTGACTACAAATGAATTGAACTTGGGTGTTGGTCACTACAAATAAATTGAACTTGGGTGTTGGTCACTACAAATGAATTGAACTTGGGTGTTGGTCACTACAAATGAATTGAACTTGGGTGTTGGTCACTACAAATGAATTGAACTTGGGTGTTGGTCACTACAAATGAATTCAACTTGGGTGTTGGTCACTACAAATAAATTGAACTTGGGAGTTGGTCACTACAAATAAATTGAACTTGGGAGTTGGTCACTACAAATAAATTTAACTTGGGAGTTGGTCACTACAAATAAATTCAACTTAGGGTTCTGATAAATTACACTTGGCTGACAGTGACTACAACTAAATTGAACTTGGGGTCTATTGACTACAACTAAATTATACTTGGCTCCACATTATTTCCAGCAATCAGACTATGGAAAGTCTGGTTACCTGGAGTGCAAAGAAGAACTTCAGTTGACAACAAAGCTTATTATAAATCTTTTATCTTCTTTGTACTAATCCTGTGAAATACAGTATATATGTCACTTACATGCATCTATGCATTGAACAGTTATATACTTATACTATACTATACCACTACATAAACCACCAAACCCTGGGGCC